GAGAGAGAGAGAGAGAGAGAGAGAGAGAGAGAGAGAGAGAGATTGATTCCCTGGCCTGGAATAATAATGGCATTAATTATGACAAACTTTTCAAATGCTCAAATGTATGTGTCTAACTTTAAAAGCCATAGGTCTTGATTTTTAGGCCCAGCTCTGGAATAACCCGTTTAAGGACCACTGGGCAAGTTGCTTTTACTCTTTGAGGCTGCATCAGGCCTAAGGGTGCAGGTCCCAGAGCAAAGTAGATCAAGGTTTGGTTATCAATCTTGCATACTCTTGGGCCTCATCTGTTAAAAGGGTATTTTAACAGGGAGTTACATCTTTTGAGGTAGCTACTGTTGGCAGAGCATGCAGCATGGTGCATGGGACATGGGAAATGATTGATAATACTAGACACCTGCATTTTCAACTGCCAAATTTTCTAACCTGCCCTCTGTACCGGCTGTTCTAAAAATGGGTCAAGGGACTCAGTGAGAAAACACTTTGCGATGTAAGTGGTACTTTACAAATGTAAGGTGATATTATTAAATTATCGTCATGGTTATTGCTTTGAATGCTATGATAGTGAGCTAGTTTTCATAGAAGCGCTTCTGTAGGCTCTTTGGCTAACAGGTGATTCGATTTGAAAGGCTATCTTCTATGCAAGAGTGTAGTCACAGTTTTGCTTTGAAAAGCTGAGCCTCTCAGCACTGGAACAAATAGGTCTATTATTCAGTGAGGATTAATTAGCTGTCGGGCATTATTAAACGTTCTCCCTCTCAAGACTCACGTGGAACCGGAAACTGTGAAAGTGAGCAAGAGGTAATCACTGCACAGAGAGAAGGAAGAAAGACACCATTGCTGGCAATGCAAATTTCAAGAGCAGAGCATGTTAGTAAATTGCAGTCTGATTCACATTGCGTCAGCTTATCCTCTTTTGGAGTCATTGTTTGGAATCTACAGTCTTCAGGGCTGCCTGACTTTTTTCTTCTTACCCCTGGGATCAAAAAGGAAAGGATGCCGGCCTTTTTAGGTCTGCATTGCAAGAATGCAAGGATGTGGATGTTATACAGAAGTGCAGAATATTTAAAACCTAGGAAGGAAGAGGAGGTGTGATTCAAGACACAGGAAGGTTTTTGTAGTTATATAGCAAATATGTCTCCTCAGTTGGTAAAATCACTCTAATAATAATTGAAAAATAACAGAGGCGCATGAAAACAGCAGCTCCAAGGGGTGATCAGGATGATGGAGTCCAGTGACCACAGACTCCTCGACTCAGCTAGCAGGGGCAAGGGTTGGAAATGCAGGTTCCTTTGGACTGCATCATTGGAGATGGGTCTGGGAATGGGCATTTTCCAGTCCTCTGCTTGACAGTGTAGAAACTAGCCTGGGAGGGAAGAAATGTGACTCATCAGCCAGGGTCACAGCTGGTTAAAAAGAAAATAAGAACCAGAAATGGGATTTTCCAACTCCTAGCTGTCTTCAGGACCTCCCTTTGCATTTACTCTGAAACCTATGTCATCAGCGTCACTGCGGTGCCACAGGGAGCAGCTCTGCTCTTGAGAGACTTCAATAGGCCTTCTGTCCTCCTCACCATAGGGATAGGAGTGTCCAGATACCTGACACCCACAGGATGCCACGGACAGGAGGTTCTATAGTAGGGTCTACAGATGGCCTCAGAGATGGCTTCCGTCCATACAGCAAGCAAGGGCAAGGTGAGGCCTGGGCAGGAGTTCACAGCATACACCTCTCAGCGGTACCTAAGCCATTTGTTTCCCGCAGGACTGCAGTGTCCTGAGAGCAAAAGATGTGTCTTAGTCCTGTGGCATCACCAGCACAGTGTCTGCCACTTAGCAGGTATTGGTGAGTTGCTTGTAGAACGAATATAACAGTACAAAAAACATAAAAAGAAAAATAATATGAATTTTCTCATATATATGCCCACTATCAGTCAGGGACAATAATGGCCATGATGATGATGACATGAATACTAAAACAACAGCAGGGACTAACATGGAGTGCTTTCTGTGAACCAGTACCACAGCAGCTAGGTTCTTTCCTACACATGACATATTACTGAATCTTCACAACAATCCCATAAGTAGCACCTATCGGCATCCCTGTCACACAGGGAGATGCTGGAGGCGCAAGATACTCAAACACAGTTATGTGACACACAGTGACATTTCTTTTTTCTTTTTTTCACAGTGACATTTCAATCAACCACAGACCACATATGCCACAGTGGTCCCACAAGCTCACAATACTGTATTTTTATAGTGCCCTTTCTATGTTTGGACACATAAATACTTACTATTTTGTTATAGCTGCCTACAGTATTCAATATAGTCACAAGCTGTGCAGGTGTGTAGTCTACAAGCAATAGGGCACAATACAGCCCAGGTGTGCGGTAGGCTGTGCCAACTAGGTTTGTGTAACATACTCTAGGTTGTGTGCATGGGCAGAGTCACCTCAAGGCACATTTCTCAGAATGTGTCCCTGTCAGTGAATGATGCTGACTGTCAAAGCCAAGGCCACCAGACAGAAAGTAATGGAGGCAGAACCCTAGCTCAAGCTGGACTGTCTACACACAACTCAGGCTCGACTCTCCAGTCCCATAGCCTCTGTGCCTTTCAAGCATCCAGGCTGGGTCTAGGACTCTTCTCCCATGCTGTTGTCCAGGGTGGAAGGCACCGGCTGACGAGAAGAAAGAGAACAGCCAGTGCTTGCTGGCATCTGAACACACGTGCCGGTCAGTATGGAACGCACACCCAACAGCCTGGCATGGAGGCCGGCAAAGAAATTGTGTTCAATAAGCATCTGCTGGATGTACAGATGAGCAAATACACCAATGAATTAATGAACAAACAAAGAAGAGAGCTAATCGGCATACAGTGACCGTCTAGTTCCCACTTGCTGCCTTGCAGCCCGGGGTGGGAACCACTTTTCCCCAGATACACTTCATAGTCTACCTTCTCAGTTTTTGGTGTGCACTAGAGCAGCTGGTGTCTGAAATCACATCTTTTATGCAGCTGTGAAAGCCCCTTGGGCTAGGGCTGGTCCCAACATGTGCCTGCTTTATTGCTCACATTGGACATGTTCAAAATGAAACCGTCATCCAGTACTAAGCCAATTCACCCTGTGTCTAGAGAGCCCGCCCTTAAAAGTCCACTTTTAGAAACCCATTTCAACACAATTTCCCCGTGAGGCCTTCCCTGGTCTCCCAGGACCAAACTAATTTCTTCCTTCTTTGACCAAACCACAACCCTCTGACACTCTCTCAATGCGTTTGTCTCTCTCTATGTAGTGTCCTAGATCCAGTCATTGTACATTGGTCTTACAAGTCCTCTCTCCTAATCTGACCACGCCTTTCTGAAGGGCAGGAGGGAAGCTTTGCAGACAGAGAGCAGAGCCCAGGTACTGAGGACCAGTTTGAGAGAAAGGGCTTTCCATCCTTCTCACCTTCTATCCTCATGAAGCAGCAGGTATTGTGGTCACTAATTTGCAGACGGAGAAAGGACAGCTAACTTGCATGCTCCAAAAGGTTAAGTGACTATGTGACCCTCTGGTAAGTGGCAGAACTTGAATCCAGGCCACGGAGGCTTTGAAGTTTGTATTCTGAATCACAAGACTTCAGCCTCCCATCTGACCATTCTCATCTCTGCACACTGAGGACACAAAGTGCTCAAGACATGCTAGGCTAAGACTCTAGTGACATCCGGCAGAGGCCATGTGGGCAAGTCCTCAGGGACAGAAGGACAAGCCCGGCCCTGCCATCAGGGCTTGGCATCGCTCCCGCTCCTCTGTCTGCCATCAGAGATGGACAGGTAGAGGCTCTGCCTAGGCTTCCTCCCTCGCACCCTGGGGTTGCAACCTGCAGCAGCAGCCGGCATGTAGCTGGTCTCAGAGGACCTCCCTGGCCCTGGTGGTGGCCAGGGAAGCCTCGGTGCTCACCCGAAGGGTTGTGATGGTGGCAGGGTCCCTGAGCCGGCCCTCCTCATCCTTCAGATTGTAGCCTTCGGGCCTCTTGTCGCGCTCGCTGACCTTCCACAGCTTCACAGTTTTATCTGCAGAGGGCAACCAGAGAGGGTCAGATTGCAGGAAGACACGGTGGAGGGGGTGGTAGCAGGAGAATGAGGGGAGAGGTGGAAGTCATGAGGTGAGAAGTCACTACAGAGGCTGGCTTGCTAAAGCGCCACCCTGCGTAAATCCCTGTGTGGTTTAAGACAGAGCTTATACATCCAAACAAAATCATATAGTGAGCCAAGAAAAATGGTTTTCCCTGCCAATGGACACTTAAGTCTATAGCATATATATTAATTTAGCTCATTCAATAAAAACAATTTACTGAACAATGAATAATAAGAGTATCCTTGTACACAGAGCTTTCTATGTCGCCTTGTGATCACTTTACATGAAGAAATGAATTGAACAGCCATGAGAGCTCCAAGAAGTCAGTCGTATTTTAGCACACACTTCCCTGGCCGTGCATGCAAAGGCCCTTTCTGGCTGGTACTCACTACCCTCTTGACCTTTCTGACCTCCCTGGCCTTCTGTCTCCTATGCTCCTGCTGCTCCTGCCTCCTCACTGTTTCCTGTGCACATGGCGTCTATTCCGACCTCAGGGCCTTTGCACTTGCTGGGCTTGCTGCAGGAACGCTCTTCACTCTCTTTTTCACTACTGGCTTCTTCACTTTGCTCCTGCTGGTCAGGTCTCAACCTCAGAGAGGCTAACTGAGACCTCCATGCAAAGGCCGTCCTCACCCCTCATTCTCTACCCCTTCTCCTGCTGCTTGGCTTGTCTTCATAGTCTACTTCATGGACAATTGGTTGGCTACTTATTAACTGACCATCTGTCTCACTTGAATGCAAAATTGTTGAAGGCAGGGGTTTTGTCTATCTTGCTCATCAATCTATTCCTTCGGCACCAAGAACAGTGCCTGGAACCCAGTAGACGCTCAGCAGATGTGTTGGATGAATGAACGAATGTCATCTGCACAGCGTACTTCTTTTCTTTCTTTCTTTTTGAGTCGAGGTCTTGCTCTGTCACCCGGGCTGGAGTGCACGATCGTGGCTCACCACAGCCCCAACTTTCTGGGATCAACCTCTGGAGTAGCTGGGACTAGAGGTGTGCATCACCATGCCCAGCGAATTGCTGGTCTCACTATGTTGCCTAGGCTGGTCTCCAATTCCTGGGCTCAAGCGATCTCCCCACCTCAGTCTCCCAAAGTGCTGGGATTACAGGCATGAGCCCTGCCACACACGCATGTTTCTATACTCAGGGAAATAAAATGGTAAGGAGCTAAATCACAGGGCTCCTTTCTTCTGGCTGTTTCCATGGAGTCTCCAGCTAGAAACCACCTTTGCATTGCCTCAGCACTTTGTACCATTTTGTGACACCTGTCACTCTCCAAGCATTAAAACAGAGATGAGAACTCCCACGCCTCAGGGGCCAGGCAGGCTTGGGAATGAGTGAAAGGAGCCAGGGATGCTGGGGAGCTGGAGATGGCACGCCCACCTGCAGGTGTTTGATTCCACTTTTTAAAGGAAACAAGTTTGAGCCAAACAAATCATGTCTGCAGAAAAAAATGCAGAACATCTAGCTCCGTCTGAATTTCAGTTAAACAATAAATACGTTTTTTAGCATAAATTTATCTCACATAGTTCAACCTCACAAATAGAGATATTTAGTTTCTCTGTGCCTCAGTTTCTTTATTTGTAAGTTGAGGAGCATAGTGTCTTCCTCATGGGTCTCTTAGGAGGATTAGATACATCACGGCATGCAGAGTGTTTAACACAGTTTTAGGCTTCTAATAATGGACCACAAATGGCAACTTCTACTAGAATTAGCAATTGGGCAACTATTCTGCAATACTAAAATGTTGCTCAGACAGCTTTAGCTTCATCGCATGATCAGGTCAGCACGTATCCTCCTTCTGTTCCTCCCTGTAAAACCATCAGGGCAGAGCTGTCTCCCAGGGCTTCCTCTCTCTTGCCTCCACCCCTGGCTCCTCACTACCCACCACTCACAACTCTCACGCCTTTGAGAGGAGAGCTTTTGCAAACAGGAGATGTGGATCACAGCCCTGCTCCCTTGAAGCTGTCAGAAACAAATGCCTTGTTCTCAGAGGTTTTAACGCACCGTTGTGAAATGGGCTTTCAGCGGCAGATAGGTCGCCTGTTTTCTTGTATGGGCATCACTTGGGCTGGTCATGTCTGCGGACACGCCCAGCAAGGCTGCCACGTGTATGATTTGTGCACTCTGAACCGAGCACTCAACCTGGCTGGGGCAAAAGGAGAGTCTGCTCCATAATGAACTGCTTTTTAGGGTGAGAAATGAACATGGGCCACATTTGTATAGTCACGTGATTAGCTCCTCATCAGCTGTGACTCAGAACACCAGAGTCAGGGAACTTTGACACCAAATATTTTCTGATAGTTGACTTTGGAATATATCCATCCTGTTGCAAGGTAATTTTTTGTCTTTTTTTTTTTTTTTTTTACCATGAATGATAAATTATTATACAGAGAAACAGATAAATCATGGGTCTAACATAAAGAATAAAGATGACATATCATCTATCCAGTCAGGGATAATAATTATCAAAATTTTGCATAAATCTTTGTAGTATTTTCTCTATGCATTTTTTTGGCAGATACAAACCTGTAATAATATTGCATATACAGTTTTGTATTTTCTCTTTTTATTATACAAGTGATACATATCATAATTTAAAAATAATTATAAAGGTTAAAAAAACCCTCCCTTAATTCCACTAGACAGAGATAACTATTACGAACATTTTGTGTATATTCTTTCACTATATTTATGTATACAATTATTTAACTGTCTTTAGAAAACATAACATGCTATATATAGTTTATAATATGGATTTTGTTTAATCATATATGTATACTGATACCTATCTCTGTAAATATGCTTATAGGGATACTATGTATTATATATGCGATAAGAGAGTATATACAATTTAAAATAGTGATAATTTGCTAACAACTAAAGGTCTAATAGTAGGAGACTCATTAGTAAGTTCTAGAAGAGTCATACAAGGGAATATTATGCAGTCATTGGAAATATTATGGTATTTTAGAAGAAAAGTAGGAAGATATTCCTGTTATTACACATGATGCTATTAAATAAAGATCTGGTTACAGAATAGCTTAGTAGAATATATCACAATTCTGTTAAGAAACAAACAGATTTATCCATGCTCTCTGCCTTTTTCTTTAAAAGACATGAACAGTATTTTTTTTCTGGTTGAGAACATTTTATTACTCATTTTGCTTTTCTGTATTTAAAACATTTTTTTGGCAACAAGTATATACTGCTTTCATAGCAAGAGAAATAAGTTCAGCATACCTTTCCTTCTCATCATAGGTTTTGGCAGAAGTAGAAAACTAAGTAAAGCAATATGGTTTCATATGGCAAATGATTTGGAAGTCTAGATTCACAATTGAATGTTGGTTTTATTTTTCATTAACAATTGTATGGTTGAAGATATATTTAAGTAGAAAATAAACCTTGTTCCCAACTATAATGGGATAACCACAATTTTAAAAAAGATAATTGATGGTAAATTCAATCCAACTCCCCATGGTTGGCTTGCCTGGAGTCATTCTTGACTTTATTATCACACAATTTTTCTTGACTCAGTATCTTGCTTGAAGCTTTGTGGATAAAAAGAGTCTAAGGAACATGCGGTTGTTAATATGAGTAATGACTTTTTCTTTCTTCTGGCTGCTTCTCTGAGTAGTTTATCATCACTTGTGGCAGCTTTTAAACACAATCTTATCATCTATCTTCATTTTCTCTTTTGTACAGTAATTCCAATTGTCTTCCATTAATTTTTGCATGTTAACCTATTTGGCCTAAGGGGGATTTTCAACCTCAATATTAGTATAAAAAAGAAAATCTCATAAGAACATGGGAGTTTTTCTGATAAGAATCATTTTGAGATGCTGTCAGCATATGAAATAGCATCCCAAATGGGAAGATAATATCCTTGTTAATCAAAAAACTATTTAAAAACTCAATTAACAGAACATTATGCTATATAATTAATCTTCATGGTATTTCACTGTTTTCTTTCCCATCCCCCAACAAAGTAGTAGTTAATAAGTGCTTGAATTTTAGTGCAATAATCAATAGGCTACATTTCATAAGATAAAGTAAGCTAGCTATAGAAGATAATCAGACACTTTTCTTCTGCCTGAAGTAATTAAGTAAAAATCATCAAAAGTCTCTTTTATTCTGAGTAGTGTTGAATCTGCAGAGCCTTTCAGTGAGACTTAAAAGCAAAATTAAAAGGAAAGAAATTGAACCAAATGTATGTGTTTTGGCTTCCAAGAAATCAGGATTGCAAAACCCGAGCAGAGCAATAAATATAGTTATGAGAAGGAATCAAATGACTTGGACTCTAGAGAAGAGATGAGTGGAGATCTTGTCATGATGAGATGTGCTTGGGTAACCTTGAGCTGGCTGCTCCAGGATTTTTTTTTTTTTATATGTCAACCTGAATCTTATAAATTTATTTTTTATTTTAAAAATGTGGGGTACAATTCAGGGTTAGGTATACAAATGTTCATTATGCAAGGTACCTTTGTTGATGAGGTGTGCCCCTACTCCCCTGGCAGTTTCCCTCAACTGCCAATGCCCCCCCACCGCTGCCGACAGTTTCCCACTACTGCCAATATTGCCCCCTCCCAGCAATTTCTCACTACTGCCAATCCTTTTCTTATAGTATTACGATAATCATTCAAGGCCTGCTTATGAGTGGGAATATGTGCTACTCAGTTCTTTGTTTTTAGAACTGTACCCTAGTTTCACATTTGAGGGATTAAAAAACGTCCCCCTCTTCCCCCATAAGATTAATATCAGACTCAGTGTAAACACTTGGAAAATTAAAATGATAAAAGGAACAAATTTACAAATCACCCATGATGCACAATCAAAAACCAATCACTATGAATCTTGTGGTGTGTTTCCTTCCAGTCTTTAAAAATATTCATGTAGTTTGATCACATGATGTACATTGTGTTTTTTTCCACTTGATGTGAGCATTTCCCTTTCTTTTTAAATACTGAGTATAGGTAAAAAGCAAATCCTTTGCTTCTTGATTTATCTTTAAATGTGTACTCCTCATAGACTCACATACTGGATGAAACGAATCTCCCCAGTTCATGTACCAGTTCAGGGAGAGATTGTTTATTTTTTATGTACTAATCCTTTTAATTGTTATGCTGTTCAATTAGCACCCTTTAATTTAGGACTTTATTCCAAATTGTTTTGAGCATAGATGGCTTCTTTTAACAAGGATTTAGGAACCTGGAGTAGGTAATTCCACTGTATGATGACTCATCCGGTGAATTCGTAATTTGTTTCTCTAATCAATCCCCAACATCCTCTCTCTCTGCTCTACTTATATCTACTCTTTCATCCAATGATATGAGTATAGAGAGAGACAGAGAAAGAAACCACGCTTGATCAGCTTTTTTTTTTTTTTTAAATAAGGTCCCTATCTCTTCTTGACTTGTGTTCCCATCTTAGAACTTCATTTTGTCTGGGAGGCACACAGTCTCCGCTTTACAGACCCAAAATATATTCAGGGGTTAATAAAATCTATTCAATATGCCAGCCTCACAGAGGCAGCACGTTGAGCTTCCTGAAACGTATTCCCAAAATAACATCCAGTGAATCTTAAGACAGGAAGCCACATTCTAACAACACCTGCAAATAATCTACATTAGTTGAAAAGTACAGATAACGGGCCTCACATAATTGAGTCACAAATCTGATAGTTTTTAAAAGAACAGTTACTATTTACTGAGGACCTATTCAATGTGTGTACCAGGTACTACGCTAACATTTTGCAAGTGCTGTTTAAGTTTTTCAACAGCCCACGAGCTACAAAGGAAAACCTAGGCTAAGAGAGATTGAAATATATAGTTTGGTCGACTATGTCTCTGAAAAAACTGAACAGAAAACGTCCCTTCCACATACCATTAGTAGACAGAAGAAAGTAAGCTGCATTCTGCTGAGGGAGCCATCTTATTTTGTTGATTTTTTCTTCTATTTCTAAACTCTTCAGGTAATCGAACTCGGGTTCATGGCTCTGGAATGTGCTGTAAACATTGTATTCACCCCTACGATGAACCTGATTTTTACTCTGGAGGGAGGAAAAAAATACACAAAAGATTAAATCACAGAAGCCAACTGCAAACTCACCAACTTCCCCCACTCCCTTTTTTTGAGCAGAGTCATAAGGGGTGAGATGAGGGCAGGACAGAGAGGGCAGCCATGGCCTTCAAGGCTTTTCATTCTGCCCCTCTGTGGTTGATATCAGCACCTCTAATATGTACACATACGTGGATTATAAGTTAAACGTGACTTCTACACAAATACATTGAAAGAGAAGTTAAAATAAGACGAGATTCTACAATCACTATAGACAGAAGTTATCTTCCTTTTTGCATGCTCACAGAGTTGCAGACACCCTTCTGAAGGAGCCATCCCACAGTGGTACTCAGAGATACTTACATCAATCTCTTACAAAGAGTACCAAGCTGTAGCATCTGCAAATTTCACTGGCCTTTTAAGATCTCACCAGATCCTCGCAGAATCTCTGAGAGGTAGGCAGGGCCAGAGATATTAAACGACATCTCCAAGGTCTCAGCTCATAAGGAGCAGATCTGGACATCAGACACCATTCCCACCCCTTTTCCCCCACTTGAGTGACAAGGCAGGCAGGAGCTCAGAGAGGCTACCTGCATCGTGAAGCCGATGGAGAAACTTTACTTCTGGCTCTCCCTTAGCAACAATTATGCCAAAAGCAAACAGCAGGAACTAAATAAATGATGAGAGGAGAGAATGAAATAGAAAGGCAGGGGTCTGCAGAAAAGGGTAAGATAAAGAAGAAAGGATGAGAGGAGGAAAAAGAGGGTGTGAAGGAGAAAGAGAAGGGTAAAGGTGAAGGCAGGTTTTATTGTAGGAATTTTGGGTCTTATTATCAAGAGCTTCAAGATTCAGGCTTTGGAAAACTGTGCTCAAAAATCAAAATTCAAGTCTCATTAAATTTTTTTTTTTTTTTTTTTTTTGAGTCAAGAGTCTCACTCTGTTGCCCAGGCTGGAGTGCAGTGGCACGCTCATGGGCACTGTAGTCTGGATCTGCTGGGCTCAGGCAATCCTTCTGCCTCAGCCTTCCAAGTAACTGGAACTACAGGTGTGTGCCACTATGTCCAGTAATTTTTTTGATCCACTGTGGAGACGAGGTCTCACCAAGTTCCCCAGGCTGGTCTTGAACCCTGAGCTTAGGCGATCCTCTCACCTCTGCCTCCCAAAGTGCTGGGATTACAGGCTTGAGTCACCATGCCTGGCTAAATTTGATTCTTAATAAAAGACTCAACTTAAAAATGTATATTCCTGGGTGGACATAGAACATTCAAACCCAAACCTCCACTGACCGAAGGGCAACTGTGATGACCCCGGGCGTGGGCTGCGTCTGTGTGGACCCCGGGGTGTGCTCCTCAGAACTTCCTCACAAGCTGCCCGCAGAACTCAGAGGCAGCGCCCTGAGGACAGCACAGGGCATTGTCTCTGGGGTCTTGGGTTTGGTGTTCACTTTAATCCCAAGACTCGCCACAAAGCTCAACACTTAACTGTTATGTTCTTTATCCTCAGAGACACTTCTATTTTTTTTGAGTTTGGAGTCTCACTCTGTCCGTCACCCAGGCTGACACTCACAGCCACCACAGCCTTGACCTGCTGGGCTCAGGAGATCCTTTTGTCTCAGTCTCCCAAGAAGCTGCGACCACAGGTGCACGCCACTGCACCTAGCTAATTTCTGAAAAAAATTTATTGTACAGATGAGGTCTCGCCAAGTTGCCCAGGCTGTTCTTGAACCTGTGGACTCAGGCAATCCTCTCACCTTGGCCTCCCAAAGTGCTGGGATTACAGGCGTGAGCCACTGCACCCGGCCTGGCACTTCTCCTTATTGAACAAAACCACCCTGCTTTGGAAAATGTGTCGTTGTAATTCTACTAATGAATCAGGCTCTCCAAGTATTTCAGTAAATGAAAATAGGTGAAACCTATAAATAGCCAAGGGACAGTGTGGAACACAATATTTCTGGCTACATGGGACTGGAGTAACATGCTGAAAGACCTCCTCTTCCTACTTATCATCGCTGGGAGCCTAATTGGGTTAAAACAAAACAAAACAAAAAACACCACCAACAAAAAACAGAAAAGAAAACAACCAAACAAACAAAAAAACAGAAAAGAAGGCCTGACAAATCCGTATTCAAAAGACTTCAATACTGACATACTTGTGACTATCCTTCTTATTTACAGAGAGAGCCGGTCCACCTTAACGATAAATGGATAAGAGCGTTGATTTGCTACCATCCAAATCAGACTGTCAAGTGTGTGTAGTATGTGCCAGACCAATTAGCACTAGGCGGCTTTGGAAAAGCAGGAAAAATTCCAGGTCACGAAGAGCTCTGAGCATCGACTTGCCAACCACATTTGTGTGTTTCCAGGGCCAAGGGAACAGGCTCAGTGCCTGATTTAATGCTGAACGCTTGAATTTATACAGAACCCCGAGGGATGATGATGCCCTTATAGAAATTAATTGCAAATAATGTGCAATTACCAAATATATCACCTCTAAATGAGGCTTTCCTTTTTGGAGGGGACGTGTAACAAAAATGGCTTTGAGGCACAGAGCAGGCTCTAAATTGCTAGGGAAGTCTCTTGTGAAACCCTCCTCTGACACTGGCTTCCCTCACGCCTCTGGGTGCTGGCTGCTGGGTGGATCTTGGAGGCAGGCTGTGGCAGATGGGGGAGTTACTAGAACACAGGCTGTCCTGCTGGTAGCTCCACGGCCATGCCAAGGGAGACCAAGGAAATAAAATGGGGCCAGAATTTCATTCTGACAGAACAGAGGCAGACACCAAAAACTCAATTTATATGAAAAAGAGAAACAATTCCTAGTGGAACTCAAGCCTCGGGAAGAAACAGGCTTCTTGAGATTCCCTGGAAGTTAGAGCTTCTGCTCAGAAATAGTCTTGCATACGGTGCTCAGCCCTTGAGATCTTCATGTCACCTACAGTCGTGTGTGTGTGTGTGTGTGTGTGTGTGTGTGTGTGTGTGACAGGTTGTGCTCAGACATTAGTTTGTGGGATTTCAATCCCTTTGGTAAGGTAAAATATCGTTTTCTTCTCTACTAGTCAAGTTGTCCTCTTCACATCTATTGGCAAGCAAGTTAATTTTTTTCTCCTGCATATTCCGGCAGCTCCTGAAATCAGGGGCCACTGAATTTCAATAGCTCCAGGACAAATCCCACTCAAAATGGAGAGGTTGAGCTCAGTAGACACCCACGGAATTCTACAGGTCAGATGAGAAGTGAGGTCGGTTTGAATGTGCCACATCCAAGCTTGGAGAGATAAGGCCATGCCCAGGAAAGGCTCCCTTTTAAGGTGCTTTTATGAGTCTGAATGTGGAACCGTGGATGTTAATGACTTTTTGGCAGTTTTTAGTTTGGAGCAAAGCAGCAAGGTCAAGGGCGGCACGTGAGGATTAAGGAACAGTAGGAGGCCTCCTTTAAAAAGAGAAGAAAAGGGGCATTTTGTATTCACTGCCACTTACCTCCTGCTCTCGTTGAAATATTACAACCCGACCCCCCTTGTCCCCTGTCGCTAGTAATTCTCCCGTGTGGTTGAATTCTACCGTAGAGATAATGTCAGCTGCAAAGAAGAAGACAAAGGCAATTTAAGTAACTGCACACTCACTCTGAACGGAGAGATAATAGACACACTTTTCTGTGCATTTAAGGGCTTAGGGCTTTGTCTATGCAGTGGAATTTACAGGGAGGTTATGTCCTGGGCTTGCATGTGCTAGAAGTGGCACCTGGGAATGTGCATTTCCTAGAGGCCGCACTGTACTGTGTCCTCCTGAACATCTGAGGGGACAAAAGGGAAAGGCACATCCAGGCCCTTTTGTTTTGAGTAAAAGAAAACGAGTTTCTTCACGGCTCAGGGAAACAGCAGTTTCGTCAATAATTTCTACCAACCACAGACCCTTCTCCCACTTGCAGCCTGTACCCTCAGAAGCTCCCCAGACAGGTTAGTTGTGCCTCTTCCAACTAGGGCTGAGCACTGCAGTGAAGCCGGGTAAGCAGCCTGAAGATGGAGGAGCAGAGCATGAAGAAATCACGGGGAAAGCCCTGCCAGCCAGAAAGCCAAGGAAGGACCCCACAAATGCTCCAGCTTGGCCCACGTTGCTCCTTTTCCTGTGAGCCCAGCACATCTTTCTGGAAGAGCATGGCTTATTGTGGCCCAGGAGAAGGATGCTGAGGACACAGGGTCATGGGCACAGGGCTGAGGGCGATCCCTGTTCGGTGTGGCTAATCAGAGAAAACGCACAGGCACCAGCACTCAGAACACAGATAATTGCCAAAGGAATGCCAGCCTGCCAAGTCTTTCTCGGATGCTGGTTACCCCTGAGGAACATGGACCGGTAAATTACCTATGATTGGATTTATTAGGGCTATTTTTAGAAAAATGTCAGAGGTTAATTCCCCTGCAATTACTCCCCTGCAGGGCTCCAACAATTGCTACCAAGAGTGCAAATGCGTTTAAGGGGAAAAAAAAAAAAAAAAAAAGAAGCAGGGGGATTCTGACTATGGCCTTTGATGGAGACACATTCTGGAGCTTATGTCTACGTAAGGAAAGTGAGGAGGTGGTGATCTAAGGCAGTGGCCCTAGAGGAATTCAGATCTCAAATCTAACTTTCAGGTCATTATTTCAGGATAGTATGTGTATGCCTGATTTATTCAGGGAAAAAGTGTACCATTCTCCACACAGAGCTGTCCTTTTTCTCACATGAAAACACTCCTAATGGTCACTCGTTGTGCAGAAGTAAAAAGAATAAGGCACACAAGCCTTAGTCACATTTAAAAAGATAGTTCCTGATGTCTTGTTTTGGCACCTTTTTGACTGACACAGATAGCAAATTCAAAGTCCTATAGGACCATGAGTAACATGGACGAAGAAACCAGGTAAATTCACGTCCCCTTTTAAGGGACAAGTGGCTCTTCAGCTTAAGCCAATTGGGGCCATAAAATGCTGCAGGTATTGACTGGTGTTGATATTCTGATTTCTTTCAATAGAAGAAGCAGGAAACCAGACTTTTATGCAAGAATCCCTTAAATTTTACATATTGGCAACTAATTACTTTTTCAATGCCATGAGAATTTTTAAAAATAATTTTATCTGCAGGCTAAAGATGGCCTGTGAACTTCCAGTTTATGACTTCTGGTCTATAGTGTCTTCATTTGGGAAAGACTATCCCAATCTTGTTGATGATCTAAACAGGAAATCTAGTTCATTCTCTCAGGCACACCCTCCAAAGTATGCTATTTTGCGGAAACACAAAATAGGCCTTGCAACTGCTAAGTTCCGGATCTAAGTTCAGAAGGCCCATCACATAAGGAGTGCCCATGTGTTGAGGAGTGAGAAAGTCCAGCCACCTTCCAGTGAGGGAGCCAGTCACCCATGAGTTATCTGACCACTCTCCTTCGTTATGGTTTGAGCATCTTAGCAAATTATTCTCTCATGTATGGAGGAGAGAAGGCAGGTTTCTGACATTTGCAGTTGCCTCAGAATGTCCTAAATGAAAAACACTGAGTCCTGGGATTCGCTTCCAACTTTTAGTTACTGCTTCCAGCTTTTCAATGAGTGGCTAACAAAGGGTTAATCATGGGGCTCCAGATGTGGGTAGAACCTAAAGTCAGTCTGGCAATTTCTTTTTACTTTTGGTCTCAGGCCAGGTAATAAGGAATGAATCAAGACCTCAACTGCTCAATTACAAACACTTCCTAGAGACAAAGAGTAAGAGGAAGTAAGGAGGAAGTGGTGGGGAGTCAGGCCTGGAGTTGACAAAGCCAGGCTTGTATCTTGGGGCTACATTCTGCCTATAGGAAGTGAATATCCTTCCACTGGGCAGAGTGTTGGAGTTCTGGGTGTGCTACAGGGCCCTTCCAATGAGATGTAAAAATGAGCCTTTCCCCTGGTGAAGGTGGATATCAGAAGAGAGGCAAGTAGTTTTTTCCTATTTAAGTCTTGAGCTCAATTGCCAAGAAAATGTCACAATGGCAACAAAACTTGCTTTCCTAGGGATGATACACATTATTCTTCTGCCCAGATTCTGTGAAAATGTCTTCATTCTCACTTTAAGATCCATACAGGTCAAAACAAAGTAAAATTCAAGCTCAAGTCTAAGTCACATGACTTAAGCCAGTATTATTAGAACTTTATGGGATATTAGGCATGGTCCCAGCTAATAAAAATATTTCCTTTGTTTTCCATGTGTGATCATTCTTTAGTGCAACGTCTCCCTCAAGAACTTTGTAAGAGAAAGGGTGGCTGCCATGCTAAGAGTCCGAAATTCCTGAGTCCTCTAGCAAAGACCTTGTCTTTTTTTTTTTTTTAGCTCTTCCAGTCAGGTGGTCTGAACAAGAGCTTGTTCATATCAAGCCATTAGCCTACCTCCCTCCACGGTAGCTCGAGTCAAGACCTGTTTTGAACTTTCACGTTTCCTGACTCATTTATCACAGCTCAGCCAGTGGGTACAACTGGAATACTCGACCGCTCATCCATCTCTGCCTATCTTTATCTATGACTATTTAATAATTGATACAAAACTCACGAATCACCCTGCATTCCAATTTCAGGATACTTAAACTTCCGCCACAAATACTCCTGTGTTTGCAGCATGCTCATTGGTAAAGCAGCTTGAACTGGAAAGCGTGCTGCTTGAGAGGAAGTAACTTTTGGATATGGAAAGAGGATGTGGCAGCAACAATAAGCTAGCACACTGAGAGATAACAGCTCCCTCTGAACTCACAATCAACAGAAATCACTCCACCAAGTTCAACATGGCCTTCCCCTGTAAGTTGCAAGTCTACATGACAGTCCAACATTTCACGAAATGCTCAGCCTAATCATGCTGTTGAGCAAGAAAATAGAAACTTGAGCATTTTCATCTATTCTACATAGATGGGAATAAAGTGCACACTGACTAAAACCAAACCAAACCTAACAAAACCCAAAAGCAGTTAGGACAAATGTAGTTAGAATGATTTTTAAAGGAAACCCTGGGTGGTGTGAAGTCTGTTCTGCTCCAAATCTAATCTAATTTAATCTGATTTAATCTTCACAAGATGGTGCCCTGGTAAACCCATTTCTAGTTCAATAGGCACTGTTGAGACTGAGTTTTCCTTTTTAAAAATCAATCTTGGGCATTCCACAAAAGTTCCAGACTAGTAATTTCATACAGAAGATCTCCATTTACCTGAATAATAGATAGCGACTTAGCAATTATATGCGTGTGTGAGGCTGAAGCTTTCTTCAGAGGGCTCTCCTAATCCATGCCTTAGTGTTTCACGGTATCATGATAGACTGGAAGCCACGCAATTGCAGAGAACTGAGTGGAGGTGGGCACCTGGAGTTTTAGGCAATGTACAGTTCACATGGCAAAATGATGGTTTTGATTAAATGATGACTCAGTTTAGATTTAGGATCTAAACCAAGAGTATGAGGGAGCATCTTACTGACCAGGTCACCAGTGTTGGCCTCTCAACATCAATCATAGGGATAGAAATGAAAGGGTAATGCAATTTAGCTGTCAGAAACCATTAAACATTTTATCTTTCATCTAAGAGACATTTGGCAGATAATAACAAAACGTCTTGTATCAGTTGACTAGCTCTGCCCACTCGACACTTGGTTTTATTTCTGATGATCAGGGTTGGCTCTAGGTTGTTTTTGCTTCTTCATCTAGGACAGGGATATCAGCAAGGATGAAAGATTCATAGCAGATGACAATGGTGAAATGGTGATGGTTGCCAGAAGGTTTGTGTTGAGGATCTGGGGAGTCACTTGTAGACTGTGGTGCCATGATTAATGTGCACTGGGTCTGGCAGGGACAGTAGGGGGTAGGATGTATATCATTTGTCATCTCTGCATAGAGGCTTCCAGCTAGATTGGCAATGACTTTGTGGATCATTAAACAAACAGGGGATTCTTAGGCTCCCTAGTGGGAATTAAAATGACTCCTCTCATTTACTTAAACTGTGGTCTCCTTGGGTCCTGGTTTACAGTCCAAAGTCAGCATTCATTTTCTCGGACAAGGTTTTCCTGGTAAGTTTTAATAACTGAAATAGTGCATTGGAACATAATTTCCACCAAAATATGGAGGAAAAAAGAAGTCTGGTTTTGGCCACACAAGGTAAACCCAAATGCTACTACTGGAGTTACACCTTAAAGACCTTGTTGAAAATTGTTAACATGTCATAAAATGTTTTTAAAAATCAAGCATTAAAAGAGTATATGTCAAATGAAATTTTGTTAAAGTGTTTTCATTTTAAAATGTATCTTTTCTTTTTTTTTTTTTTTTTGAGTTGGAGTCTCACTCTGTCGCCCAGACTGGAGTGCAGTGGCTGCTCCCGGCCACCGCAGCCCGACCTGCTGGGCTCCGGCGATCCTTCCGCCTCAGCCTTCCGAGTAGCCGGAATTACAGGCGCGCACTACCACGCCCAGCTGATTTTTTTATTTATTGTAGAGAGGAGGTCTTGCTGCCCAGGCAGGCCTTGAACCCGCGGGCTTAGGCAATCCACTCACCTCAGCCTCCCAAAGGCGCGAGATTACAGGCTGAGCCACTGAGCCCGGCTAAAATATATCTTTTC